GAATTCACTCATCATTTATGTACCAACTATTTGTTTTTAAATACTGGGTTGGTAGGCCCACGTACATCATGCTGTCAGGCTGACTTGGTGTTCAGCATGAGTCCTTCTGTTGGTATTTTGTATACTCAGCAACTTCCAGCTGGGAACGGGGCTACAGCCAGAATGGAAATATCTGAGCTGTGGTGCGTGGCAGTTTAAATTAGATAAGAGTTACTGCAGCTAAATGGGTATTGTTTGCTTTAACCTTCACTCAAATACATGTGCTGTCTTGAACTGGGTGCCATCAAATTAAGAACATTCACATGTAGCAATATAAATTTTAAAACTAAAATCCACAGATGTTTTATCAGTTCCAAATGCTGAAATTATGCTGTCTCCTGCTCATGATATTTTCATCTGGTTTGTGATGCTGCTGTGTTTTCCTTAAGTCAAATCTAGATATTTTTTTTACTGCAATATGTAAAATAGCATTTATACACAGCATTACACTGCTGAATGGATAAGCATTCGGAAATAACATAACAAAGGGCAGAAAAATGTCAAATGGAACTTGTATGAAAATTCAATACTAACTCTGCCTTGTCTGAGTCACCTTCTGGTGCCAGCTGCACCGTTTCGTATCTGTGAATACTCAGCACAAACAAGCAAAAACTGTGGTACTTGACTAGAAGATGAGAGAGCCTGTCTTGCTACTGACTTTGATTGTCAAAAATCCCAGCTGCTGTGTTGAAGCAGCTGAGCACCATGGCTGCTAGCTTAGTGGGAGCAGAGGGGTCTGTTAATATTCTTAATCCCTTTGTTGTTCGTTAATTGCTCAGAGCTTAAGGCAGATGCAACATCATCTGTATTTAGTGAGGTCCTGTCCTGCCTTTACCTACTTTATTGTATTTATTAATGTCAATTAAGCTAAACAAGAAAGACTGAAAGGCATGCCTCAGATTGTACACGAGTGACTTTGGTTGGATAAGGCCCAGAGCTCTCCTAGTTCCCAGACTCTGGTGTAACCACAGGAACACAGTGCTGTAGTTGAACTCCATCCACAGCTGTAACTTGGCACAAAGAATCCGAAGGAAAGAATTTCCTTTTGAAGTTTCTAAGTGTTCAAACTTGTTTTGTCCTTTGTATTCTGCTAGTGCAGAAAAATAACTTATAAAGTCTCTGTTCAACTGCCTAAATATTACATGCTCCTAAACTGAAAATTGGGGGGGGAAGTTGTTAGCTTTGAGTTAGCTAAAGAGCAAGGAGCTGTGCAGGCTGCTGTGCTGATGGAAGCAGACATCAATGGTAGCAAGGCATCACTGAAGATCTTCCTCCCGTAAAGCACTCTGACTGCTCATCAAATACATAATAAAATACATTCAATTTCTCGGCAAGAAACTTTTGTTTTTTGGCCAACATCTTACATTGAAAGTTGTTGAATGTTTTGCTGTTTTTACATTTTATGAGATTTTGAGTGGGAAACGTGAATAAAGCATACAGGTAGATTTGCCCATAAGGTATTGAGGTGTGAGGTGTAATTACTTGAGAAAACGCTCCCCCCTCTTAAAGTGCCTCAGGATGTCCTGTGTACATCAGGTATCTTCCATCCGCTCTGTCCAGTGAAAGCTGACAGGACAATGTATTTCTAAGAATAAAGGCAATTGCCTGTTTAAATGAAGCGTCATTCATGCAGCTAATGGAATGCCAGAGCATCCAGCCGTCGTATCTCACGTTTCAGACGAGTACGTTGGCTCTCTGTGAGAACATGGTTTTCTGTTGGTAAAGCTTTTCTCCGCATAGAGGTAGCGTTACGGATTTGGTTGCAGTGAGGTGGTGTAAACCTCAGCCTGCTGTTGCCTGCGAGCCATGTGCATAGGGCAGTCTAACAGTCGTGCCTGGAGGGTGAATTGCAGGGTAGGCATATGGGTTTTTCTTTTTCATTTCTGCATTTGCATTTCATTTGTGGAAGGCAGAGCAATCTAGCTTACCAAAGAAGAGCTGTATGTCTTAAAAATGCTGCTGTCCTAATGTTAAATGCAGGAGTTCAAACTAACTGCAAAAGTTTTGATGTGCATGACCTTTTAATGTGCATATGCCGATGTATTTGTGCGCTTCTTGCGGTTTCACCTGTCCTGTACGTGGCTGCTCATGTGCTAACAGCTGTCCAACAGCCATCTTCTTGGTTCAAGTGCTGGTTCACCTTCCTATCTCGGGCTGAGGGCCCTGGGACACGCTGGCTTGTGTGTGGCTTTGTGAAAGCTGAGGTGGGCGCAGCCCATGCTGTGCCTGAGTAACGGCTGCAGCTGTCAGTGGCTGCAATGTGCTGCCACTGCTCAAGCAAATCCTAAGCTGCCTAATCCTTAAATGACAGAGGCAGTGCCACTGAGATCTGACAGGTACTATACTGGTACTTAGAAAAAGGTCAACTACTGACATACAGGATGAAACTAAGAAGAAATGCTTTTCATTTACCTAACTGAAAATAGTAACCTTGGGGTTAGTTAAAATACTGGACATTGGAACACCACAAGAACTGTACATCTACAGTGTTTTGCTATTATGCAAGGATTTGTAAAAAGGTCTTTGTGAGTAGATGTGATGTTAAGCACAGGATATGGAGCCTACTGTTTTAAGTATAATTTAACAGTTCAAAGGGAATTCATGTTGTGCAACTTTAGTGAAATTATTTCAAGCTGTTCAATACTAATGTTTTTCAAAGGTGCATTGAGGTGTGTGCAGCAGAAGTTAACGAAAAGCAAATTACCTATCATAATCCATGATGACTAGAATGCAAGACATGAAATTGCATATTGTCAAAATTTATTTTTTCCTAGAAATCTGAACCTTCCATGACCTCACTTGGAAACGTACTGCCTGAGATCCTTAAGACGTAGAGGCTTCTTTGTTTTTGTGTTGTTTTGTTTTGCTTTTTTGCTATACCTGCTATGAAGTCAAAGGGATTATAATGTTCAAACAGTGAAAGAGAAGTTACATGGGATATGCTGTCATCCATAAATCACTGTTTCCACTTTTGTTTCCTTGAAAAAAGCTGGTGCAGAGAACACTGTTTCTATGCTGACTGCTTAATAATGGCTAATAATCATTTGTAATAAGTTAGGTTTGCAGTACAAATGAACATACGAACCTTTCAAAAGAGACAAGCTACTTTTAGAGTATCTAAAATGGGTTTAAGCTAATCCAAGATTGATTTAATAACCTGTAATTTATATTACTTTAAGAATCTTCAATACAGCAAGTTGAACAGAAAAAAAAAGTAACAGCTCCTTTTCCCTACAACAGTTTTCATACAAGATAGTTTTAAATAGCTTTTTTAGCACATCCATGTGCTCCCTCTTCCCCCCCTTCCTCCCTTCCCCTTTTTTTTTATTTTTTAAAGGTAGAACATCCAAAAGACAACACAAGAATTGGCTTTTTCTTCCCCATCTGGTAAAGATATGATGAAGACAGAGACTTGAGACAGAATATCCCAAAATGGAAAATACAAACTTGATGTTTACTTTTCCAAATCTCCAGGGACTTTGTTCTTTTCCTTGGTTGTAGTTGATAAAAAATAGCACTTTGCTCTGTGTCTGCATGTCACTCTGTTCAGTTATAAAAAGTTTCCAATTTCAGCTTTGGATTAATTTATTTTGGAGCTTCCATTTTGCTTCACTGAACACAGTGCAAACCAAGGCAAGAAACCTAAGTAAAATCCAAATGTGAGCTCCCATTAAGAATATATATGAGCAGCATTTTGAATATCCATTTTTACTGTCTTTACTCTGGGGATGAAGGATCATCTTCATCTTCATCCTCTTCTTCTTCATCATTGAATGAGCATGGAGTTTCTCCCCGTGATTCAGAGTAGCGTGATGTTGCACTACTGGACTGCTGACTGCTAGGGGCAAGAAACTGCCCAGTTGCTAAAGCCACTTCAGTATCCAAACACAACCCTGGATTCTCACTATTAAAACAACAGAAACGTTAAAAGTTTAGATTTCTCATAAAGCATTAAGCTTTCTTTTTTGCCTCTTCTTCGTTTAGGGCAAGGAATGATGTCCAAAAAGAAACATCCTAAAGCTTTACGTTAAACAAAGCTAATAGTTGTGAAAATTGCTGAAATACTGGAAAATAGCCTAAAAAAGATTGGCTTTCTTCCCCCCTCTTGCCTTAATTGCCTAGTAGAATTGTTCAAGCTGAAAAAAGGACTTGGGGGTGTTGGTTGATGCTTGGCTGAATGTGAGCTGCAGTGTGCCCAGGTGGCCAAGGCCAATGGCATGCTGCCTTGTATCAGGAATAGCACAGCCTATGCTGGAGCACAAGTCTGGTGAGGAACAGCTGAGGGAGCTGGGATTGTTCAGTCTGGAGAAGAGAAGGCTCAGGGAAGACCTCACTGCAGTCTACAACTGCCTGAAAAAGGGCTGTGATGTGTTGGGGGTTGGCCTCTTCCGTGTAAGTAGTGACCAGAGGAGACGGCCTAAGTTGCACCAAGAGAGGTTCAGGTTGGATAGCTGGAGCGGGCAGTGGTTGAGTCATTGTTTCTAGAGATGCTCAAGAAATGTTTAGATGTTGTACTAAGGGACATGGGTATAGTGGGGAAAATACTGGTGGACTAGATGGTTGGACTAGATGAACTTGGAGGTCTTTTCCAACATTGTAAAAACACAAGGGCTTGGAAGTGATTCTATTCTTCTGAAACAATAGACATACAATAACCAGCATGTTTAAAATGTAGATTAAGCTTTCAAATACAATTAGTGAAGAGGACTGAAGAGGACTTCCACAACTGAAAATCAAGCTTAGGACGATGTCCTATGTCCTGCATGTAAATGGTATGAACTACTGAGGTCACTGAAAGTATACAAGAATCTATTAATAGCCTTGAATGAGAAATGACTTTATTTACCTTGATTTTGAATCAGATGTGCCTCCTGCTATCTCTGAATGTGAAACTGCTTGTGCTGAATTTGAAAGTAATCCTCGGTTCATCCATGACAATCCTGTAGACATATCTAGAAGAAAGTATAGCTGCACTCATTATGGCTATTTAGATTTTTTTTTCTTTTTACAGTGTTTACTTTGCGTTCTGTTTGCGGTTAGGATTCTGCGTTTATTTTACATGAGAAGCTTAGATTGATTTCTATACTGTAGGTGTGTTCTTGCTTAATCAAAACAAAATATATATTCTCCAGTGTTTGTAGGTACTCTCAGGCCTTGCTAAGCCCTCAGATGCAGAATTGAGGTTATTTGTATGAAATTTTTCCTTCTGAAGAGAATATGCACTGCAGATGACTCCAGCTAGCAGCTGTACGCAGCAGTAGGACAGCTATTCAGTTTTGGAGTCCTTTATGGAACTACAGATACAGATTTTTATTTTTTTATTTTGCTATGAAGTTTGGTGAAGGTATGAAGGGAACTGTAGTCATTGGGACTGCAGGCCACCAGGACGCTTTGTTGTTACCTGGAATTGTTTTATTACAGTTAAGAGGAATAACAGTATGTAATGTGTGCTTTCTCATCTGTATTACTGTATTCATGTTAAGCTTTGGTCTTGAGATTTGACAGTGCCCTGTTTAGCAGAGGTATGTTTTAACCAAGTAGTCTGTTCCCCTGCAGCCACATAAACTGGCTCACCATCCATTGGGATCTACTGGCTCCCTGCTGTGTAGACCTGTAGCAGTGAGGTTAAATGGCACTACTGAGCAAAGGAGAGCAAGGCTGATATTCCTTCAGAGAGGGTCTTTGAAACAAGACAGAAAAGACTACTAAGTGGCAGTGCTAGAAGGATCTATGAGAATGCTTGATTATGGACACAGCTGGATGATTTTCATTAAGACTGCCCTAAATGCAAGCTTAGAGTTACAAAGAACATGTTCTGACACTTTCTTCCTGTGTTTGCAGGGGGTGGCCAAACCATTTGGTATGACAGCACTGTATTTAGATTAATAAAGTGGGTTAGGAATGTATCACAGAGTTTTTTTTCCTGGTCTTTTGAAAGGGTGTACCTGTACCTACACGCTTAATGTTCCAGAAGAGTAGCAAGTCACTGCTAGTTATTTTGAATTTAATTAACATTTTGGCATAATTGCTGCCTTCTTTTTGAAGAGCAGGATGGAGGAAGGCATGGATGTAATGCATATGACAGAAAGTAGCTTCAAGGACACATGTCCTTGCCCTGTGCTTCCATTGCCTAGTGTTCCTAAATGCTGATTTCCAGTTGGGCTCAGAGGAAACAGGGAAAATAAAGTCTGTGCAAGATGGAGAGTGCGAGAAGCCACTCCCCGTCTGGAAGGGACTGCCAAAATAGAAGCCTGCCTGTGACTGCAGTCTTACTACATGTGGTAGAGCAGCTGCACGTATGAACCAGGGAGGTCAGTTTGAAAAATCTTTCCAAGGTGATGCAGTTTCATCTAAGAGTGCCATCCTTATTATGAACAGGGCATGTATTTGCAGCAGGTGGATTTGGTAGAAACTTCTATTTGACATGAGAAGGCTCTAAGGGAGTACCTTCACTACCCTTTAGTAGTTAATGCAAAAGTAGAGTGTTGCAGAAGATTATTGCTGGTAGTCGAACAAGCTTTTTCATTTGTCAGTATTCTTATCTTTCATTCCATCTCCAGCTTGTTCTCTGGTCCAGGTTTGTTATATATGTAGACTGCAAAGCACTTCATGCAGAGGAGAACAAAGATGTGTCTTAATACAGAGAACCTAAATCACACCACTTTGTCTGCTGCTTTAGTGGCAGTACACTAGTGGGATGCTGTTACCACAGCTATCAATGCCTTACAATTTTTATTTCCTTTTTTCTTCTCATCTGTATCTCATTTCTGGAAGTGAGGACTCAACTGACAAAGGCAGGCCTTTGGTTTTGCATTAACAGCCTGTAGAGTCTGTAGAGCCTAAAATGCACAGGATTTGGATAGTTATACAAGAGTTTATGCTCACCTCAGTCCATGACATATTTCTGTCCTTCCAGTGTTTCTCACTCCCTCCTTTACCCTTCGATTGTTCTGGTCTAAGCCCTTGGACAGCTAGCTCTATGTGCTGAATAGCCAGAAATTCCTCTGCCAAATAAGAACCTTTCAGGCGTGAGGCCCTGGGATGCTATCTTAAAGCTGGTGAAAGGGTAGTATTAAAGAAAACGTTTCTGTAATAAGAAGCTGGCAAGTGGTTGTAGTGCATTCTGTTATCTGTCCATCACTTTCCCTGGATTACATGCTTGGCTAAAGCAGCACTTCCATGTTAACTTTTACTGTTGTTCCCTTTTGGGGAAAAAAAAAACCAAAACATTAAGGTGGTCCGTATGCATTGTTAGCAAAGAATAGAGCTATAGAAAAATGTGTTAAAAACACAGCTTAGGATGTATGGATTCTCTTTCTTCATGGTGTTAATATGCCTCAGCTTCTGTTTATTTTAATGGCAGTCAAGACACTTGAGGATCACACTGCTGTAGTTCTTAAAAAAAAAAAGTGTGTATGTATGTGTACATGTATACAAATATCTTGTTTTTGGTGAAACATCACGAAACCAGTGGAAAAAGACAATATTACTTTTTATCAAGTTAAGCCACTTACAGAATGGCTAAAACATATAATCCTTCTGAAAAGGACACACACCAAGGTTTTGGTTGACAGTTACCAACTGTTCAGCAGTTCCATGCAAATTATATGGATATTGAGTGCAAGTAGAAAGCAAGAAGCTGCTACGTTTAGACAAAGTAGAACAGGACTGCTTTCATGAAGGCAGCTACTCTAGGAAAACTTGAATCTCGACTGTGATAAATTTACTCAGTGAATAAATAAGAGACATGCTTTTGATTTGCTTTTCTTGTATAGTTGTATTTGTAGCCCCTGTACTTAATGGGCCATCCTGAGAGTGTGGAGTGTAAACCATGAATTCTAGAGAACAGTAATTACCCTCACATTCACTGCTCCTATAGTGGAAGAAACAATGCCTGAAAACTGCCCACGTTAAAATGGGAGGTTATACTGAACTGAGATGTGTAATCAGGCAAATGTTGGATTTTCAAGTGTTGTGCAAAACTTTTACATCTTTTCCTTATGTACCATTAACTCTAGATTTGCTTTGTGTAATAAAATTGCAAACAACAGCTAGAATACATCTGTGAATGTACTCATTCTAATAACACGTCATTTCAGAGGCTGAAGCAGCTACATTTAACCCATGTCTAAAGAATACAGTATCTCCCTCAATGCTTTTCAAGTAAAAGCACAGATCAATACATTTCCTATCAAAATTCAAGACAGGTTTCTGGCTGCTGCTCTGCTACTGGTGAAACAGCCCTCATCACAGCATTCTTGCAATCTGCAATCTTATAATCTGTTGTAGCTGTTAGTAGTTGTGTTTTTTTTTTCTTGGGACAGAGTATGTCTTGTTTCTTCCTTGTATGGGAGTGCTGTGGTTGTCTGCCTGTAATGTTGTCAATAACAAAGTCACACTAGCAGTACATTGGTGTGGCTGATGTTTCTTCAAAACAAGTCAATCACTGATTTAGCTATGCAGGGTTTTTTTTTTTTTTAATTTTTAAAAAGCTGGTTTTACACTGAAAAGAGAGTAACAAACAACTCTTTGAAACTTGAAGAAATCCTATTCTCTGAATATGCATGAATGCAGGATTAAAATTAAATAGAAATTTTGCTCTTCTGTACGTGGGGTCCATTAAGAAACTCAAGACTTTAGCAATATTAGAAGATGTGGTTCTACTCCTGCCCTTTGTTTTGACACTGGTAATTTGTGATAAATAATACTTACTGAATCAAGCTGAAAGAATTCTTACTTTGTTCCTTGTGATATTTTTTTTTTTGTTGGCACTGGTGCAGCATCAGACAGATGTGTAATTTCAAGAGTGAGTGAAATTAAAAGATGTATTCTGAATTTTAAATCTACAGAACAAGTGGACTAAGAAAAACAAGTATGTTTTGATTTAATATAAACACACTTGTGGTAGTTTGAAATGCAATGCCTAAAAAGTATTGCTTTTAGTGAATACAACTGAATTCTGATTTATTTTCAGCAATTTCTTGACATCATGTATTTTAAGGACCTAATGTGGATTCCTCTCTGGAATCTCTTGCTTTACTCGCAGATGCTCAGTTCTTAGATGGCTTGTGCTGGCCACCTTTTATCTAATTATCACAAGCTTTACATAGTAAATGGGAGTATAAAAATGACTGGCCAAGATAATAAAGAGAGCAGGAGAACCCACAGTCCGTGTGCCTAAGAGCATGCACACAACATTGAGCACATCCTACATGGACAGAGATGCAGGTAAGTCTTAGCAGAGCTCACCCACCTCCAAGTGTGAACGCAGCTGGATCACATACAGGGTTAAACTCAACCAATTCATGATGCTCCTTTCCTCTCTTTCCTTCCTCGCTTGGGAAGAGCTCTCTTCTTCCAGTTTGCTCTTCCACACATACACAGTTATTCAAAATGAATAAAAAACTGTTCTTAGTGTCACTTTAGTTACTTAAGAAATAATTCCTTCATATGGCAGATCCCTGGAAAGTTTGTTGTCACCAGCCCCACTGGTTTTCACTTAACTTCAAACATAACAGACCCACGTAACATCTCTAAATTTGCTTTGGTTAACTAACGTTATGATTTTGATAAGGAACAGTATTTAAAAGGGACAGTTAACTTACCTGTGATGTAGCCTTCTAAAGCTTTTGGCACCAGAGATTTTGCAGTTCTTAGGTCTTCAGCTGAGCATTTGCCTTCCTCCAGCCCAAAGGACATTCCCATTCTCTTCAACACTTCACTGTCATCATGAATCTCAAAAGTGTTATCGAAATTGAAGAGGTATTCAAATCTGAGTTTAAGAAGTTGAAGTGACATGACTTAGAAAAGAATGGCTTTGCTTTTTTTTTTCCTCCCTTTTTTTCTGTGTGTGTGTGTTCATTACCTGTAAAGGGTCTTTAAGAAAAAATAATTTCTTTCCTGCTTCTATGACAAAAATGCCTATGAAGTTTAAAATGGTACTCTGTCAATTAAAATGACTACCATTACAGGAAGAAAGGCTAACATTTTCTACCTCATTAAACAAATTCAAAGGAAAGTAAGGAGGTCTTAATAGACACAAACATTCACTTGTACTAAATCCAATTCTTTTAAAGGTCATCTGCAGCTCTGTCACTATAGTAAGTATTTTGTTTTCACTTCTTTTATTTTTAACTTTCTGTTCTAATCTGCAACACTCCTCCTGTGAACTGACCTATTTACTTTGCTACAGTTTTGCTTTTTGGATGCATTTAGATGCAACCAGCAGAGTACTCTGGTCAGACTTCAATGCTCAAATCCTAACATTTCTGCTACAGTATTCTCAAAATGTTTTTTATTGCGTGTACAAGTGCAGATAACGCTATAAACTCAAGTGAGCTTTAATGATGGCAGGAGTATTTACACTAGCCTTACACTATCAACACAAGCTATTAAAGGCACAGACAGTGCTGGCTGCTCCAATGATTACAATAAAAGGCTGGTTCAAAGGAACTCGTTTTCTGCTGACAGAAGCTCCATCCCCAGAAAAACAATCCGTGATAGAATCTTTAAAAGGTAATTCTGATGGGTGGGCCTTCATTGATCTGAACTCTTATGTCATCTGTGGATTTTCTTTATTCTATGTTTTGTCTTTTTTAAAAAATATGTTTGAGTAAGTTTGGAAAAGTTGTCCCTCATGTGTACGTGCAAAAGTTGTGTGTAGAAATGTGCTTTGGACTACATGCAGCTGTTTTCATTACAGGCATCGCTGCTTTTGTGATTCTGTGGTACTGCCTGTAGAATCTATACTGTTTATGCAGCTGTAGTTATGTAGGCATAACTGCACCAAAAGGAAAAAATCCAGTGTGTGGCTGTACCTTTAATTGGTATGGTTACTTTCCTGCTGTCAGGACTGGTGTGGCTGAAGTCATGCAACTATGTTTAAACAAAGGGGATGGGAGACCAGTGTCATGCTGAACTGGCAAGCCATGTGGTAGTAACTGATTTCAGCTTTTATGGTCCAGTACTAAAGGTTGTGTTTATTAATAGCTCCACGTTTTTCCTCCCACATGTTGTGGCCAAATACTGGATATTAGCAAGAAGTGGAACACACTAAACTAACAAACAGTATTGTTTCCCCTCCATTATTTCTAGCAACCTCCCCTCTGTAAGAAATCTCTACGCTCCTCCTACTTCTGCCATTAACAGCAATTGCACGGTTTTCTTTCAGAAACTGAACGTGGCCCCGTTTTGAACTTACATAAACTTCTGGCATGCACATTTTTAAGTGCTATGATTTGCAGAAAAAACCAGTAATAAAACCACTTATGTTCTTTTTACTTAACCTTGGTAACTTCTCTTAATTTTCTCTAATTTTAAAGTTTAATAGGCAACTGGGAACAGCTGCATTCTGGGCACATTCCCTCTGTCAACCATGATTGTACAGACATCCGTGTATCTACTGCCCTCTCTTTTCTAGGCCAAACAGTCCAACTGTGCCTGATATGAAAGACCTTTCATTGCTGCAGTCACTCCTGCTGCCCTCCCATTTCTCCTGGTTCTGCTGTACTTGCAAGGGCCGGCCAGGTAGAGAAAATACTGTCTGCCTCAAGTTTTATGTGGTGTTTCTTGCTCTTTTTCCTAATAATTACTAACAGTGTTTTGGCCATTACTGAGAAATTAACTTCTGTTCTTATAAAATGATCTACTGGGCAGCTATCTTATTATTCAGTGTTAAACCCGGGTTCAGAGGTCAATACTGTAATGTTTCCAAACTTTACCTCTCCTATGAAAAGTGTGAATTTGATCAACAATAATTTCACCTGCCACTGTGTTATCTACATGCATGTCATTCTTATGTCATTATCTACTAATTAAAAACCAACACTGATCAAACTGCTGATTTCCTTGAATAACTTGTCTTATTTTTACCAGTGGTATACATCTGTTGTTTCCTTTCATTAGAATTAACAATAATTTGGTTTGCTTTTTTTTCCCCCCCTTTACCATTCAGCCTGTTATTAAATTAACGAATGACTCTTTTGTCTTCGGTCATTTATTTTAGGGTCTACTGTGGATGGCCCAGTGATGTTAACCAGATTTCCACGTTTCATGTTGAGTGAGACAAGAAAACTACTGCGCACCAGGTGACATCATACTACCCAGTCTATGTACAGGACATCTAAATCTTAGTAATGTCTACCTATTACTTGTGTTGCTGATTGGTTAAAAACAAAAACCAAACAAAATCCCCAAACCAACAGAGAATCAAGAAACAAAACAGTGTCATGTTTGTCACTGTCTGTTCTTTTGGTGCCATAGTAATTTCAGGAAATTGTTTGACTTACATTACACAGTAGGTTGTAAGTCGTATTAAAACAATGTTTATTATTTAATTACATGTTCTTTTTAGTTACGTGTAGTTTTAATATTTATACAGTTAGTTTTAATAATACTGCTTTGGGCATGTTGGTGGTAAGTTACATGACAATGCATACTAACTGACTGAGTGCAGTTCAAGACTGCATTTATAGACCACAGAACAAATTCTGTAACCTACAGAAAAGCAAAACCACCTGCTTTCATCTAGTCAACTGGTTGTGATTGGATTAACAGTGACATTAACAGTACCTTTCACTATCAGCCACATTTTCACAGAATGAAAAGGCATAAGCACACCAAAGTATCTAAGTGGAGATTTTTTCAGGTAAACTGAAGAGTGCAACTTACGTTTCAAATTTCTATACCCTTTAGTTCTTTTTTTTCCCTCAAAGAGTTAAGTGCAAGCTTTTTCCTATTGAAAAATGTCAAGAGATGTCATCTCTTTCAACACTGTTATTATCACTTCTGGGCTGCTACTTTTGCCTAATGGATCACATCATCTTTCTGACTACATACATTTAGGAGGAAGAATTTGGAAGCACTACCAAATGGTTTTCTACTGCTAGTATAAAATGGCTAGTGCAGTGCTAGTATAAAACTTGATTCAAGTCCTTCTGTCCTATGCATGAATGCTCCTCGAAATGTCAGCCTTAAGTGCCTTTTACAACAGTGAAAGTCAGCTTGTTTTAACTAGCAGTTGTATAAACAATGGTTATAAACTTTATTCTGCTACTACTGTAGTTGGATTAAACATAAAAACGAAAACACCAAACTGAGCCAAAACACCCATGAAATAAGTGACTGTAGGAAGTGTAAATGCACCATTACTTTACAAAAACTAGGGGAAGCTTCTCACACTTGTTCAGAAAATAATTCAAGTCCAGAAAGAAAAAATAAAGTTCTAAAAGTTGATTCCACAAACACTCACTTGTCACTTGATATGCTGCAGTCAATAACGGTTCTCTTGCTAGTGTTGACGATTAAGAAAGGCAGCTGTATTGTGGAGTTTGAGGCTGGGGGGCCTTGATTTTGTTGTTCATTTTGCTGATTTCTTTGTACCAAGTTTTTGAAAGCTATTTGCTGCAGAAAGAAAGAAAAAGCAATCACTGAATGAAGACATCAATGTTTCCAGGAACTGGAACTTTACAGCTCTTCTCTGCCAACTCTCAGTGCCTCCAGTAACATTCTATCAGGTGTATCTCCCTCCTATCCCCCTGACGTGAAACAAGGGAGTGTGTAGTGAAAAATCTTTCCTCACCCCTTTAGAAAAAGCTCTGCAGTGAGACATCTATCTCCTCTGTTATTCTATATGTGTAATTACCTCAGACTAAGAGCTCTTAACACTGAAACAAAAGTTAACAGAAATTACTGCATTCTGCCTTTCTCCTGATCCATACTTCCTTTTCCTTCTCATTCATCACCATCTTCTTCTCAAACTCAAAGCAGTACATTTTGAAATTCTCCTTTTTCAGCAGGTGCTGTTTGTGACATCAACCCCTCTCTACCATTTTGCCATATTGGACCATGCAGGAAAATATGTGGTTTTAAGAAACATTATTTGAGGGATTGGAAGTCCGTGTACTCACCCACTTTGAGGTACTATTTCTCATACTTACTTAGGTGGAAGATGGGTAGACAAAATCCCTAAGGACTGCTCAATCACTTGAAAGTGAACATAACTAAGAATATAATTACAGTTGTAGATAGTGAGGGTAGGGCAAATCTGTCATTTTCAGACCAACAGTTGGAGAATTTGAGTTGTGTTATTTTAATCAGGATAATTTTATGTTAATCAGAGAAGCTTCTAATTTATTAGGTGAGTTGGAATCAGAACTATATGTCCTAAATAGGGGGAGGATGGGAAGCCAGGTATTTAGTTTTCCATGAATATTAGCTGAAAACTGTATCATTGTCTTTGCACCAAGGAAAAAAATAGCCTTACTGCCAGTAACTTCATGCAGGAAGTTTGATTGCATTGAAATAGTGAATGCCCATACGTAAGTGCTTTTATTTAACAATGCTCCTAACTGTACTTATAAAATGTTACTTTATTTATAAGGATGCATTTGAAATACATTCCTGCAAACAAAGCAAAAATTCAAGTTGCCTCTAAGTCTTCTTGTGTGCTTCTCAGAATCTACAAGAGCTGCCATTTGCCAGTCTTTCATTCTTAGGATCCAGACATTATTCTCTCCCCTAGAACAATTTAGTATGTACTTACCCACATACAGCTGTAAATTTCATAGCCTAGAATGTGGTTTTTTTCAGTAGGAACTAGTCAGAGAAGGTAACTGGGGGCTTGGAGTTGTTCCAATTTTCACTAATGCTTGTAGTTTCAGCAGAACCTTTACAAAATGGCTGTGGCACACAGATGCAGCACATTGCTTTAGAATAGATAAAAAGGAACCAGGGTTTCAGCGTAAGAGGTTCCCAAGTTACAAACTTGAAAGATCTTAAGTATGAAACTTTTCCTCCCTAGTATATATCATAGCTGAAGAATTTAAGAGGTTCTAATGCATTGGATTCTTACTGGTTAATTTCATTTATATTAAGTAAGATAATCAAACACATACCTGCAGCAGCAGTTCCTGTAGCTGGGCTCGTTTCTCTTTTATCCGTTCAATCCGCTTCTGTTTTTCTATCTTAAAACAAATGCATCATAATTAATTAGTTACCTTTCTGCTTCGTTGTGCCAGATGGAACAGGTTTTACAGTGACATCAATGTGCTGAACACCTTTACAAAAAAGACCCCTTTTTATTACTAAGTGGTGAATTGCAGGGTACAGTAAGCAAATTTCAAATCTTTTCAGCCCTACCCATTTACTATATATACCTTATATTTACCTTATTTTACCTTGTCTTGTTTTTTTCAGACAAATCATGTTGTCTCATGAGTATTTTTAAAAGACAGGACTGAGAAACCACAGCGTCTTCCCCTGTCAACAGTTTTACCTTCAGTAAAAGCCCCTACGAGGCTGTATCTCTTCACCCATTCCTGCTCTTCTGTACTGTCCACTGAGTGCTGATTAGCACCAAATAAATACTTGAGGGGGTGCTTTGCATTTTTTTTTCCCCTCTTGCCCTGCATTCTTTTTAATTGTGCGTCCCTTCCACTCTTCTCCCAGATGTAAGTTACCAGATAAAAATGTAATCATCTGCATCTTTCCAGGCACTTCCACTCTTTGTTTGGACTATTCACCTGAGACTCGATGGAAATAATGACATTTCAGAAGCAAAGAGAGTCAGCGGTAATGTTTTTTCCATTGGCACATCACCTATTTCTTGTAACAGTTAAATTTACAATACAAAGTTGTCTTCAAGATAAAAATGCAGTGTTTAGGTCAGTAATAGTAATGAATGCTTACTGACACTGCAGCTGTAACCAAACAGTGCTCTGGGAAAACACTAACAAGATGGGCAGTAGCCGTCATGCTTCATAAGGTATTTTTCCTCATTATCTTGCTGATGCCAGCTTTGCCACTGTTCTCAGCTTTCAACTACTTCTCCATTCAACTGAAACAATATATTAAAACTTACCTGGACTAATTACATTCCCCATTTACAATGCTTTTTATTTTATTATCATCTCATATTATTTGCAAAACATAATCCTTGAGAAGACGAATTTTCCAAGTTGCTGTAATAGCCAAAATATTAAAAGCTTTTTTCTTATTGTATTGAGAAAGATGATAAATATAACCTGAAGAAAAAGCTGTCCTGTACTGGACAGACTACTTCCCTCCCCTTTTAGGACAGCTAATGTCACAAGTATTACAAATACAATGCACATTAAGATGTATTTACAGATAGCTGCAGTGGGATTTTGCAGCAAATGCAATAACCTTTTGTATTTATGGAATGTTTGGCCTGAAGCAGAAGCAACATTTGTGCATATAAATTCTGGCCTGCAAAAACATGGTAACTCTTAGCCTGCTGAAAAAAAAACAATGGAAATAAGCAATAATGAAAACTTTTTTTCCTGCTAGCTCACAATTAGTATTTAACATCCTAGTGAAAATTATTTTTCCATTTAGCAGTCCCTCCAAGCACGCACAGAATAGCAAAATAGGTCTCTCTTAAACTGTGTATACAGCTTTGTGTTGCCGGTTATGCTGTCAGTTATACTGACAAGTTTTTTGTTTGTTTTTTTTTTACTTCCCTGTTTACTTTGGGTTACTACAGAGTAAGTCTTAAAAATTATCCCTGATACAACAAATGAATATTTGCAAAGTAAGCAGTTTTTGAAACTTGTGTAAGTTATACTACATAAAACAAAACCAGTCACACAATAAACACATTGTTTCAGTTTAGTCAAATACCTAAAGGTGTTTTTTCATACTGTGCAAGAATGAAAACCAGTCAGGTTCAAATGGCGGGGAAAAGAAACCTCTTTTGAATTACAGCACCTCCATTATCATGACTTATGAACTATACAGAAGTTTGCATCTACCTCACTTTACCTCTAGATTCTGACATTCCTGAGCTGAGTTTGTAGGAAGGCCAATCCATCGGATTTCCTTTTTCTCCTTTGAAATTATATTCATTGCCATCAACACGTTAAGGGCATCATAAACTCTCCGTCTAATATTTTTCTGATCATAAGCCTGCTAAGAGACCAATGCAGCACTGATAACAATTAAAACATTCAAAAAAACCCCACAAAAACCCAACCAACCCACCAAGAAACACATTCTTCATAGCTAAAGGACAAAAAGAGCAGTTTTAAGTCAGAGTGACAGTAAAACAATACTGTCATCTGCTTGGCTATCACATCCAAGCACGTCTGTTCACAAAGGAAAGTTTACGACCTCCTTGAAGCCTCTGAGCAGCAGGGGCCATCACAGCAAGTCTGTTACAGGTGAAAAGCATGACAAGACCACGTGTGGTGGATAAAACAGTCTTCGGTGATTTTTTTTTTTTGGTCAGACTTCTCTATTTTGTTTATAATTTAGAGAGACCATATTTCTCAGTTTTAATTCTGTATTTTAAAAAGAAATTTGATATATAAATAATGTAAGAGTAAGTCACATTTACGAGATAGTTAACTGAAGGAAACTATGGGATGTGTCAGGATAGTGCAAAGCTGGCAGGCAGAGGAATTGTTTCATAAACCAGCCAATTTTATAGTGGTAGAAAAAAAATGTTTACCGAATCCGCAGCGAGGTGGCTGTTGGAATTTGTGAATTCTGATACCAGCTCATCAGCAACTTCATTGTATGAAGTTGTTCCTTTACGCTGAACTTTTTCACATACTTTCATGGAGAAGTGCCTCAGACCTTTCCCATTTTTGTCTCCTTTTTTGCTTCTTTTACTGTAAGGAGAAAAATAATCATTTTTATAAATTGAAATTTAATAAGGTTACTTTGTTATGCAGCAAAATGTCTAGCTTTTGCAAGAGTAAAAAGAAAACCCAAGAGCTTAAGCTTATAGTAAAGGGAAGAACAGGAACTAGAATAGAGTAAGAGTGGCCCTGTACTTGAGGTGTGCAGCACTGTGCACTCCTGGCAGATTCTTACATGACTCAAAATCCAGTTCCTGCTTTTTCCCCACTGTCAGCTGCTCCCCTATGGAAGTTTTCAACTGAAGCCAATGCTGCAGCACTCAGCTCTCCCTAGGCTGGAATGTTTTTTGTTTCAAAATACCTCACTTTTAGAAGCCCAGTTATTTTCACTGATTCTCTAAATTTTATATTAATAAGTTAAGTTTTACTCTACAAAGGTTATTTTATTTCCTGTTGCATACACAATTTCACTGTATTTTCTCAGATCAATTTTTAAATCTAGCTATTACAATTGTACATGCTTTGATTTGCTTTTTAATTAAATGTTCTTCAGAGACAACATGACAAATGTCAGTAAGTTTACAAAATATGCTTGAGCAAGACTGCAAATCTTACTTCATTCTTGACTAACAGGATTACAGACACTCGGAAGCAAAAATACTAATATAACATAACCTAATAATATGCAAGACTCACATTAAAAAAAACCTTTTGCCTTTGCATTTCTTAATGAAAACACTGGAATTATTTGCATGCATTTCAAATTCTCAGTGGAATTTCTTTTTTAAAAAACTACAGCTATAGAAGATGATTTGATTGATAGTTTCAGGGAGAGTTGTTATTTTACAGAGGTAGACTTAGCTACAGCAACTGTAAAAGGCTAAGAAAAACATAAAAACATAGGAATGCTTTTGAAATTTTTGAATGTATTTGAAGAAAATATAATACAAAAAATGACAGAAGAAAAAGCAGAAAAGAACAGCAGAAGATTAAAAAAAAACAACAACAAAGCAAAACAAACAAACAGAAAATCCTCTTAAAACCTGTGCATTATTTGAGCCATCACTGATAGGCAAACAAAGAAAACAAGTTGAGTGCATTCCATGTAGTTTTGGAAGCAAAAACCAGCTATCTGGTTACAGGTATTTGTCCCACTGAAAGCTGAGAAAGCAAACTGAAAATCTTGTTTCTGAAGATGTGATTTTCTCTCTCTTTCACAACTCCAATTTGGTCTGTAGCAGTAAATGTAAATATATCAGAAGTAAATATAAATAATAAGTAAATGTTAATATTAGAAAGTGATACAGCAAAAAGTAACAACTTATAACTACAAAGAATAAACACACTGCGCAGCTTTTAATGGGGGAAGTGAAAACTCACTGAAGTGGGAATTAGCCAGGCAGTGCTCTGAAGGGCAGATTTAAAGCAGCAAAATAAAATGTAAGTTCAGTAATACTCACCTTTCTGAAAAATCTGATTCTATAAATTCTCGAGTTCTCTTTCTTTCCCTAGGAGAAGACAATTCAAGGTTACTTATGTTAAAATAACATTTATTTGATCAATAAAATCAATGTATTTGGTGTCTAGCTAAATAATGCGTTGTCCAATGCTTACTGAAGGAAGACAACAGCACACAGTTTGACTGAATTTGAAAGAAAAAGATGATGACTTTGGATGTTGTCTGAGTCCACTGTCAGACAGGTAAGAAATACAAGTTTTGTTCCCAATTTTACCATGTTCTAGCCTTATGCTTTTATGGAACTGACTTTATCTGGAACTACAACCTGGATGTGGCTCTGGACAGCCTGGTCTAGTGGCTGGTGACCCTGCTCACAGCAGAGGAGTTGAAACTAGATCACCTTTGAGGTCCTTTTCAACCTAGGCCATTCTACGATTCTGTGATACAGGAAACACTGATAGAAGCTAGACAACCAAATATCTTCCAAAAGGAGAACTTGGACTCCTTTGAAAATTCCTATTTACAAATGCCCTATGTGGAGGAAAGTGCTTTCAAACAGTGCAGAAAACAGATCCTATATTTACTTGATACTGAATGTTTTGGTATCTTTAAGCAAAAAACAACACACAAACTATAAACACATGTACATATTAGAGCTGACACTATCATAGCAGAGCAGTACTCTGAAGTAGCTTCTGACATGAGCTTAGCACAGGAGTAGTAGCTGCTAATCATTGCCAGTTTCCTTATAGTTCTGTTTATTAGCTGCGTCTCGAAGATTTCAGAAGTTTTATTCCAACCTTGTCTCTTACTCTTGCAGCTGGTAACATACAGCGTTTGGGAACTGTCATAGCACATTACTTCATGTTGCTACCCTGTTATTCCAAAGCAGTCTCACAGCAGATACACACCAACTAAAAAGCTGACTGTGTTAATGAAGAGAGCTGAACTAAAATGATGGCTCTGAAGATGCTGTGAAAGCCTGCATGTGTCAGGCTGTGCAATTCAGAACCTTCAGTCTGAGTAATCCCACCTCCAGCATCTTCCTAGCAGCAACAGCAGCAATCCCTGTCCATGGTGCTTACTGAGTGAATGAAAAAGCTGTCTGAGGAGATAAACAGCCAGCAAGAAAACCAACCTTAACAACTGCACACCTGTTTCCACTGGCACACAGGAACAGACATTTCCATACAGCAAAGTTAAAACAAACAGCGAAGCAACTAGTGTGTGTAACTCTGTGTTCACATGCTTAAGACATAAGCACTTCATATGCTAAGGACTGTATTCTTTTTAACTGTGGAAGAGCTAGAAGCTGTGAGCTAACATATAGCAAAAATAGCATAAATAAAGGAAGAAAAAAAAATCATAACAGATACTGATTTTTGTAATCTGTCGTGTGTAAATAAGCCAGAATCTTACCCTGGAATCCAACCAGTAGCTTCTGTTATGTGCGTCTGCGTCACCATCGTTGGAGCTGGGTTATACGGACTCCCAATCAGAACACCCCCTGAATTGGTCAGTCTTTGTGATGTGCTTATTATCTACAAAATTTAGAAATTGAAATTAATAAAGAAATAAAATATCAACAAAAAGCACATCTTTGATAAAACAGGTTAACATATCCTAGAATTCATATGAAGGATGCACGGATGTAAATCAGATATAAGTTGAAAATAAGATACACAGAAGAGGTGTCATTAGATCTTCACACAGGACAGTAATTACAGTATTGGTAGACCTCTGCTTATTGCATCTTATTACTGTATTACTTTTATGAACAAGAACTAGACAAACAGAAATAATTATTAGCTGGAGCATATAAGATTTGTACCTATATGTATCTGATTGTTTCTTCCAGAGTGAATCTAGGTAATTTGTCAATTACTGGAATCAGAAAAGCCTCATTCCCAATGGGTTTGTCTCTTTTAACTATCTGCATTTGGTATCAAAGATAATCTGAGATCCCTCTCAATTATTCCCTGCAGTTCACAGCATTCACAAGACCTCCAGGCCCTCTAACAAGCTAGGAGTACAAGCTCGTATCTGTGAAAGTACATGTGAAGTCTCTACTGTAGAAAAAGAATTTACAATACATTGATTCAAAGCTGTTGAAATTCAATGCACAGTGGTTGTTAGCAGTAAAACACTCGCTCTCAACTGCTAATTCACATCTAAGTTAATTCTTTAACACAGGTTGCCAGTAGAATGTAGATAGCATTTAAAAATGGGACAGTATTATTAGTTACTCACTAAAATAAAAATGTTAAAATTCCTTTTATTCCAATTATACAAAAGCTTCTTGGAGAATGCTTTTTACTCATATAACTTATTTTTAAACTTTATTTCGCTTTTAGTGATATGTTGAGAAACAAATGTGTTAAACTTGGTCCTTTCCCTTACTACTTCAATGCTTAAAGAAGTAGCACATGGCAGAAACTTTATTTGGTGTCCATTCATATTGTTCAAGCAACTAGAAGGAAAAAAAAACATTATCTGAAGAATTTCCAGCTTCTTTAATTCACTAAGCAGTACTTTACATCCCACCTAACCCCAAACTATAATTACATTTATGTATTTCTTTTATCTGAATAAACAAATTTTATCTTATTTATCCTTTGTGTTACAGTTAGGCTTGACAGAGAGAGACAAGTGGGAAAAGAAGTGAGCATATATGGCTCTGCCAGCACGTGGCAGACATGTCAGAAAGAAAAGATTTTAAGTATTTTGCATACTGAAATTCCTTTCTTCACGTTTCACCCACTCATAGGTTTCACACTGCTCTACTGATGTCGTTTAAATCCAAAAGAAGATGTATCATAAAAAGAATATTTTATGCCCTTATAATTTTGACAACCAGTATAATAAATTGAGGTACAAAATCATGTTTGTGTATTTTAAAGACTGACATTTCTTTCTATATCATGGTGCCATCTAGTGGAAATAGACATTTATAGAGAAGAGGTATCGCCAACCTGAGAGCATTGACAGATTACAATACGTCGAGTACTGATATTCACTGCTGTTGTTTACTTTGCTGTACAGAAATCTGAAAACATGCAGCTGTGCACCTACACCAAAACTTTTTCCTTTTTCCTACAACCCATCAGAGATTCAAATGCTGGACTGGCTGTCACCAACTAGTGACAGAATTTGTACCAGAAATACTGAAGTGGAGCTTGTAAGTGACCACTTGTGGCAGTCCAATGGAGAACAGCATCACAGAGCAGAGTCAGACCAGGCAAGATTTTCAAATCTAACTTTCAGCAGAACAGGAGAGGGAAACAAAATTACAAGTCTTCTACCATGCAGTAACTTACACCCCTTCCACCTGCTATAGAACTTACCTGTAACTAAGGGTGATTTTAGAAAACCAGTGCCTTGAGCAGAATGTGGTAATAAGAGGGAACTGCATTAACTGACTGCTTTCTTCTATTCTCGGCAATTATTTATTGTGCTCAAAATATTTAGAGAGTATCAGTAATATTCCTGGTAATTTTTTTTTTCTTAATATGCTTTTGACTCGGTGGAAATGTCAGCTGGTGAAGTTGTTTCAATTTCCAGTCAGAGCCAGAAAGATAATCCGATATATTTAGATAATAAATTTATAAATAATTATGGAGCAGTAGTCCTGGCATGCCCAGATTGCTGCATCTGCATGTCATCACCTTCCCAACCATGTGGGATACTTCAGGCTTACACCTAAGTCTGTATGTTCTAGCGAGGCCCACATCTTCACTTTTTCCATGTTTCCATATTACATGAATGGGAAGTTATATATCTAGTTACATGAGTTCACGTTCTGTCATCGCAAAACTTACCATTTGGGGTCCAACATTCACATTGATTGGTCCTAAGGTTTTTGGCAATATCTTTGTTGGGGAGTTGGTACTGGAAACTGGTAGTGTGATTACTGAAATATTACCTAAAAAATAAGGCAATGAAAAGACAGTTTTAAGTTTCTTCCTTTGTAATGTACAAAAAATACTTTGCTGAATTCTCACATCATTTTTACATTTTGGAATCAAGTTAACTTTTTCTGTCTTACACACTGCCACAGAACAGCCACCAGAACCCTTAGCAGATGTCACAAGGACACCTTACAAAACTGCTAATTATGTATTAGTATTTTATTTCCAGAAGGAATTCGTCTAGCCTAAGACAAAGGGCACACAGCCCACCATACACTTCAGCTTTAAAACTCTTGGGTGTACTTTTAGACTTCCAGAATTTCCTGAGATGGAAAGGACCTGCAAGGATGACAGAGTCCAAATGAAACAAGTCTATATATTTATTAATCCTACTTACAATCACAAGCATACACACAAAGTATGTATCTACACATCTTCAGCTTTTACCACTTCTGACTATGCTGAAGTATCTAAAACATCAGAAAAGCACATCTGTGTCATGGTAGAGAGTAAATGACACCTTTGCACATTACCTGAAGTAACTGCCAGGTGGCTGGATGTCAGGGTGAAGCCAACCACTCCACCTCCAACCCAGCATGTGTCCGTAACAAGATGTTTATTACCTCCATAATCCTACACTCCTTACAGATCTAAGTCATCCTGCCTTCATACAAAGAAGCACAGCTGTATGCTGAGTACCTCACAAATGCTGCTGCTACTCCCCTTTCCCATACTCTACCTTTTAATCTTGATTACTCAGACTTAACGTCTCAATCAGAACTGTCATGCAGCACTTCCACTACCCCATAAATACTCCAAGCATTCTATACAAGCCACTCAAAGTGGTGAAAACACACATTTACCTTCGGACATGGTGGCAGTATCAGCTCCTATCTGTCTGACAGTTTCAAAGCAAGACAGCTGCAAATCAATCAAACACTTCCCTGCATTCTTATGCACAGCCCCATCCAAATTCAAGTGTTAGAGTGGTGGGTCTGGAGGCAGAATGAAATACAAGGAAGAGTTGCCATTACCTCATAACCCACAAAGCCAGCTTGGGCCTAGCTGAGGTCACGAGCTATAAGGACAAAGACTGACTCCTTAAGAGCTCCTCAGGCTTTCTGGCACTAGCAGACAGAAACTAAAGGCAATCCGAGGTGATGGGTTCCTTCAGCACAACACAGATACCAGCCCTGCCCTCCTCCTGCCACAGGGGTTGGCAAACTTTGAACTTAGTCCAAATAAGATCTCTATTACCCATGTCTTTTCTCACAGTGCTAGTTCACCTCCACGGCCCCCTATTTTCATTTAATCCTGAAGTGTGGTTGTTGATTTTTTTAGTACAGCCACATTCTGCCCTGAAAAAAAGTAATCGTAATTTCAGCAATGTAACAGCTGTGTAATACAACGCAGAAACAACCCAAGAGAGGAAAAAAAAATACTTAGTAAAGGATGTTCTTTATCTTTGGTACAGAAATAAAAAGGATGCAGCTATATTTAAATTCTCACCTTTATAAAAAACGAACAGAGATAATAGAATTGGTCACAATAAGACAAGGATGTTTTAATGTTCTGTGCAAATCTCTCTGGCACCTGGAGTTACACTGCTACTAAATATTGCTTCTCCAAAAGGCAGATCTGTATCTGAGGACACCTTCAGAATTTATTCACCTAACTCACCTAGAAGAAAAAAAAAAATAGCAAACCACACACTTACAAACCCAAACCCCAGAGTAAATCTTTGCTCCAGTGTGAAATACCTCCTGACACAGGGATGAAGTACAGAGCAATTCACAACTTACATACACCCTGTTCATATACTGAGCTCAAAAAGCTCTCTAACCTGACTAGTTATTTGCCACTTTTCACTTTTGCTGCAGGATTTTGCTGAGGATGTATTAAGTTGTGCTGGCACTCATCAAAACCCATCTCACTGCAGCATGCTGCCATCAGTGGCACTGCTGCTCACCTCCCAGGTACTGCTATAATTTATTTTTTTTTCCCCACTGCTGCACCTGAATATTTCCATACCTTCTTCTGCAAGATGAGCTCTCATGCTGTTTCTCCTTGTCTCTTTTCTTACCATAGAACAAATTATTCCATTGGCACCTCTGATAAAGTCACATGCTAAAGCACAGTACCATTTTGAAATGCTGGCATTCAGCCTCAAGTTTATCACTGGGTTACATCACACAGTCATCTTCAGCACATTTCTGGGGCTGCAGAGGTCTGTAACGTGTAACATTTCAGAACACAAGACTGAAACATGTCAGATTTACTGCACTGTGCAATCAGCACTGCTGGTGTACAGTTACGTTTACACATCCACTCACTGACCTCTACATTAATCAGTGTGCCCATGGTTTGTGTTCTCAGCACGCAGCTTGGAGACTGTAAACCACTGTCAATAGTTTTTAGTGTGTATGCACGTACCCACACAATTCTGTGTACTGCCCACACATAGGCTGAAAACCATAGCTTAATAATTGAGACCCACAGGCAACACTACACACAACCACCAATACTGATTAAGTGTTAATAGATAACTGCTATCTTCATTTATGAGATCACGTAGATAAATGTACATGGCCACAGCAGCGTTAATAATACAAGGACTGTTCAAATAACTGCATCATGGTTTTACAGAGACAGTTGCTTAAATATGAAGTATGTACAACAGCCTTTCTGGCTTGAGTGAGTAACAGAGGCCTTACTTCTTTTAATACCTACACAGACACAACGGGATCAGTCTGTTCTGATAAGTGAGGCCTCCTAAACCACGAACAGAAAGAAAGAAGAACAAACTTTTGCACAGTAAGAGCACTCATTCTCAGACCACCTTTCTCAGTGGCTGAAAAAATGATAAAGTTTAATTTATTATCAATTAAATACTCCTCTTCCTCGGTGTTTTGTTTTTTTTTCCAGAAAGAATATAATAGTCCAAACATTCACGTGACCCGCATCAGTAAGTCAAATATTTTAAAATGCTACAAATATTTAACAGTAAGAGCAGATTTTCGTCTCTTCTCATAGAAGAAGTTAATGTGTCTCAAAATGCATCAAGCACAGCAGCAGCCCAACCTGACGAAGCACATTTTGCAATGGCTATCAGCAAGCACTCTTCCTCCTCTGTACAGAGTGGTGCAGCTGCTGAGCCCAGCCCAGGCCCTGCAGCAGCCCAGCTTTGTGGGACACAGCTGCTGCAGAGATGCGGAGCCACTGCAGTGAGAACATCACTGCTGACTGCAAGCAGTCAATTCAACTACAGCAAGAGAGCTGGCATTACCTAAGACAACTACCTGCGTTTTACACCAAATTTTTGAGGTTACTTCACCTCCTCTTGCTGAAGATCCCAGTAATTTCTAAAGTTCTGAAGGCAAGGTTGCATTACAAAAGAGTGAGCATCAACAGGAACAATTCCTTCAAGTCTTATTTATGAAAAGTACAAAAAAAGAAGTCATGCTGTGTGCAAATCATAAAAAAAAAGCCACGAAAGATTTCTGTATTCAACCAGAGGTAGCAATAACACCAAACAAATTATATATACTTTATCATACAGCAGCTGTAAAGGCTTTAAACATGATCAATGTCCATATAAACACCAAGTCTTAGTAACACCCATCATATGGCAACCAAACGGTGCACCGAATCACTGTGAAAAAGCAGTGCATACAGTGGTAAGCTGAGCACTTCAGCCTCCTAGTCACGGTAATCTTACAGCATGGATGGAAAAGGTCAGCATAGATGGATCAAACTAGAACGATTTGTATAATCATATTCAGTTCTTACATTGTGTTTCTCAGCAGTACAAAGCACAAGAGAGGTCGGTGTCGTTATTCCCATTTTACCAATGGAAAACTGAGCACATGGGAAAGAAACCGAGTTAAAACTCCCATTGAGAGGCTTTAAGCACAGAGGCTTTAAACACATATACTTAACAGCACCACAAACTGAGCATGCTTGCCACTGAAGCAAATTCAAGATAAAAATCTGTCAGTGGACACACGCCTGATTCTCTCAGAACACAAAGCACTTTGCTTTCATATTTAAAAAAGCATTGATACTAATATGCCTCCCGGCCCATGCAGAATGTTGTTACCTGCACAGACACACGTATGAAACTCAGTTGAGTTGAGTACACACATGCTTACATCACACACCAATGAATCAGCCCACAAGGCTTCTTTTACATTTTCACACTGCATTCTAAATAGTGTAACTTCACAGAAGCAACATCCAGTCCTGTACCAACATGGAGCTGAAGAGGTTTCAGCAAATCTCCTGTTTAAGTAAATCTGCTAGCTTATTTGCAAAGACCATCAGAAATGATGTAGATCTTAGAATTTATAGAATCTGTTGCAGTCAGTTTGAAGGAAACCATTGCTAATGGGAAACAGATCCACCAGCTGGAGTCTCACACAAAGCATCCGTCAACAAAAAGACACTTTGAATTTTTAAACAAAACACAACAGGAATTTTGGTAATCAGCATTTCACGTTCAAAGCTCAGAAATACAGATCCATTATTAACTTACAACCTGGAAATGTGCTGGTATTTTAAAGCGTATCAGCCAACAGTCCTTTTAAATAATATTGCCAATGGCCTGACAGCAAAAGCAAAGAAAAAAGTTCACAGTTATCAAATGTGGCTATTCTGCATCAGGTGTTTCCTTAGGCTCCTCTACTAAGTTAAAAAAGATCTCCAAGACCAGGAAGATGAAGGCACAAAATTATAAAAGCGCACAAAAAACCTCAGTATTAATTTTCCTATGTTCTTTCAGTACATTTCTTCATTTGTTTACTGCACAAACACTCTAAGCTATAAACATACCTTGGAAAATTCCATAGTCGTTAGGGGCACATACATATCTAGAAACGCAAAAAGTCAAAGAGGTGTGTAGAAAAGAAAAAAACAAAGATTAAAAAGAAGAAGAAGAAAAAAAAAAGGTCAGTACTCCACGCAGTGATACACTGACCAGCACATTTTCAGCCTTTTACTGCTCGATTTCTAACAA